AAAAAAAAAAAAAAAAAAAAAAAAAGGCAGTTAAAATATTCAAACAATTTTTATGACACTAGACCAAGCTTAGATTTTTTTTCTGTAAAAGTCTTATTAATACCCTTGGTATTGTTAGGAGTAAAGCAACAAAAAGACCTTCAGGAGAGGATGGAAATGAAGAACTGAGAGAAATAAGGGTCATGTTTAGACGTACCTAGGCCCTCTGCTCCAAGATGTGCTTTTGCACTGGCCTCTGAAAGCCATTTGTTTTGGGGTCAAATCAGTTCCTAAAGCAGGAGTTTGTCACTCTCACAGCTCTGCTCCCTTCCTTGAGTTGGCAGACATTGAACTAAGCAAGGTAAGGGAGTAGTAAATCCTTGAATTCCCACCTAAAAGACTTCGGTAACACTTTCTCATCCTGGGTATTTCAGAATTCATGCTTTTCAAGGTTTTAAAACCTTCTTCAAGAAATAAAAATGAAGATGCTCTGAAAATATCTTGGCCTGATAGAAGATGAGTCATCAAAACTCTGAAGGTTTGCTATTTGGAAGGAAAATTAGAAACCCAAATGTATTTGTAAGCGATAGCCCTGACCAGGACATTCTCTACCTAACTCATCCATAATTCCATTTCACATTGAGATATTTTTTTAAATATTTTATTTTGGCACCAAACGTATTGCATCTTCACTCGACTTTAATCTCTGCGCTTCTCCTCAGGATGCTAAAGGAAGCTTGATCCTCTTGTCTTCTGAGTGTGTTCAAGTAACAATTCCATTACCCTCAGTTGACCAGCCTTTGGGGAGAATTAACAAGGGCTTATTCAATTCTCTAAAATAAGTGTATGCTTCTTCCACACTCTGCCAATGTTGGGGAATGGAGGACCCACACTTCTGTGAAGAGAGCGACACAGTCAGGGTCTTTATTCCCTTTGTGCTCTATCATGTTAGCAAGAGGGGTGGGCACAAGGCAGGCCTGCATGAAGGCAGCGCCACGTCGGTAAAGAGGAGGAGAACACACATCTCGGCCCTGGTCTGCACTGGGGGTCGGCTGGCTTCCATTTCCAGCCTGTGTTGGTCAGTCTGACCGCCCCATGAGCAGGGCATCTGGATCCCTCTCAAGGTGGCCCAGGGACTGCGCAGGCCCTGCCTCAGTGGCACCTTTGACCTGATGCTGCAGATCCTGAGACTGAAGCCCCTTGCCCGTCCTGTCCTCTTGAGGCAACCCCACCCTCTGCTGCACTTCCTTGCACCAGGACTTCCAGGCAGGTCTGAGAGTTCAGGATTTGCTCAGCTTCCTCACATAGCTTGGGGCTCTTTGGAATTTGCCGTCTTTCCCCCTTGCTGCTTGAAAGTTGCAGGAAAGGGATAAGGTTGCTCTGACCCTCTCATGCTAAGCCCTCGAGGCCACCCTCTCTGCTGCCTTCCCAATGTCCTTGTAATTGGAGGCCCTCTGGAGGGCCTGCCCTCAAAATTTCCAGGTAGGAAGCAGGGTGGAAGTCTCCTTTAAAATTGCTTCCACTTAAATTGCAAAGCAAATTCTAGCCCATTCTTCCCACACCCTAAGAATTATCTTGTGAGAGGGCCAAGAAGGGTCCATGACCTTACCATGGCCTCACTTCTCTCACCCCAACCTGACTGCCAAATCTGATTTGATAATATGAAAAAACTGGTCTCTGTCAGCTCACTTCCATTTTCTAATGTTTTCTGTCTCACATCAAGATGATGCCTTCTGAATGTTGTCAAGAGTTTAGGCATGAGCCACTTCTGAAAAATGGAGAGAGAAAGGGGAGTGCAGAAAATAAATATCAGCATCAATTTGGGATGATTTCTGGACTTCTTCATAGTACAGTATTCACTTCCTGTGCTGCTATTTACTTACTGAATACAGGACAGGGGTGGGGATGGAGGAGCAAGGATTTTTTTCTCCACAGAAAATGAATTAAATCAGTGACATTGATAGAACTCTTTTCCACACAGTTATTCAATACAACAATTGAAACTTCTGTAAGGGCAGATCATCTACAGCAGCGCCTGGAAATACTACTGGAACAAACCCTCCTCACTGCTTATGTCAACGTTTCAAGAGGACTTTTTGAACAACATAAACTCATCTACAGCTTTATGCTCTGTGTTGAGATCATGCGTCAGCAAGGAAACTTAACAGATGCTGAATGGGATTTCTTTCTCCGAGGTTCTGCAGGCTTAGAAAAGGTACCTGTTTCAAGTTTAGACTGTAAATGTTATTCTACTTAGAGCCCACAAGTACCTTGCAATGTTCCATGGTGGCTGAAGTTGTACATTTGGTTGTCCCAGTGGGGAGGGCGCTGGAGGATCAGGAGGCCCTGGCTACAGCTTAGCTCTGTCTCCAGTGGCTGTGGAACATCGGGAACATTAACCTCTTTGTGCAGCAGTGTCCTAACCTATACAAAAGGGCTGTTGTGAGTAGCCAGTGAGTGAGTAGATGTGAACAGGTTTGGAAAATTTGACCATATTGCAAATATGAAGAGTGAAAATCAATCAAAGTTGTCATTTAAAGATTCGGCAATACTGTTTCTGAACTCATGACTTTATCTGAGGCACATCTTTTGTTATAAAACTCAGGAAGCAATATAACCTGGCTGTGGTCCTCTGTAGTACTGTAATACGACTTCTACTACAGTTTCATTCTTCATGTTCATCCTTTTGTCCAACTTGCTCCAGACCCTTAAACTGGCCCAACACACCCTGCTGGCCCCTAAACTGGGCCACTGTCCCCCAGATCTTGCCTGCAGTTCCACCTCAGGCCCACCATAAACTCTTGGCTCTGTCCTGCTGTAACTCAGGGGGGAAAATATCTTCCCAGCCCAGGGCAAATTACCTGTAAAACCAAAATCAGTCAAAGGGAGAAATAAAGTGGGAGAAATCCGTTTATTGCCTACAAGCAGTCGTCCACTTCCTGCTCAACCATGTCTCTTATGACCAGGCTGCCAAAAAGGGACCCCACCCAAGCTCTTTGGTCCAGATATGTCTTCACTACCCCCATGTAACCACCTATTGATATGGAAATGAACTACTTCTCTCCACCCCTTGGCAATACCTATTGATATGGAGATGCACTAAGGCCAGGCAAGAGATTCTGGAAATATTACAATTTTACCCACACTTGCCAATTTTGAGCCCCACCCTTGGCCCCGGGAGACATGACACCGCACCTGTTTGCCAGTATTTGAGCTTCAGTGTGTCACTGGGAGGTTGTATTCAAGCTTTTGACTCTCAGTGCCCTCTGCTCCCAGGACAAGCCCAGACAAGAGCTCTCCTCCAGATGGTCCTTCCTCCCCGACCCCCACCCATCTTGCAGGCATATATAGTCTATTAATCATTGCCTAATATTATCTTAACTTCATAATCAGTTAATACTTACAGAGGGCTTGCTATGTGTTTTTGATATATCAACTCATTTATTCCTCTCACTATTCCTCTTATGTGGGTTTTTAATTTTATCTCTAGTCTGCAGATGAGATAATCAGACACAGAGAAATTGAATCACTTATCACGATCACATACTTAGCAGGACTGAACCTTTGCGGTCAGTCCGTAGAGCCCACCCCCTTACCCACTTCACTCTGCTACTAGTAGTCAGTCACTCACCAGGCCTTCCCTGGACATGGTTGCCCTTCTTTAGTCACAGCACTCTTGTCAACAGCCTTGTTTACAGTTTTCTCAAACAGATGCTTAATGAGGTATCATATATCTAATGTTTGACAGAGTCTGATTCAAACCTGTGTCTAACCTTCCAAAGCCACTGTCCATGCCAGTACTGCCTGCTACAGTACTCCTAAGCAACATACTTTGAAAAAAATTTTTAAATGTTTTAAATACCTCAAACTCAAAACTTAAAATTATCTAGAAATCATCTTCAGCAACATGTAAACTTTTTTAAATTAAACTTTCTTTTCCTCCACCATGAGGAAATTTGAGTGATTCTTGATGATTTTATTTTTTAGGACTACATTTGGGGAATATCTTTCAATTAGTTACTGGCATTTAAATACTAGTATTTTCCATTTTTATCTTAAGTGCTACATATCAATAGGTCAGTAGAATCAACAGAATAAAAACGGAAAGCTACATGATTATCTTAGTAGACCCCAGAAAAGCATTTGACAAAACCCACTATCCTCTCATCACAAATACACCCAACAAGCTAAAAATAGAAGAGAATTTCCTCAACTAGACAAAGGGCATGTACGGAAACCCACAGGTAACATCATGCTAAATTGTGAAAGCTTGGATGTATTCCACTTAGATCAGAAACAAGATGAGGATGTCTGCTCTAACCACTTCTTTTCAACACTGCACTGGAGATTCTTACTAGGTCAATTAGGCAATAAAATGAAGTAAAAGGCATCCAGATTGGAAAGGAAGAAGTAAAGCTATCTCTATTTTGCAGATAATGTGACTTTGTGTATAGAAAACATAAGGAACCTACAACAAAACTATTAGAATTAATAAACAAGTTCAGCAAAGTTACAGGATACAAGATCAATATACAAAATTGATTTGTATTTCTTCTATACACTTGCATTGAACAATATGAAGAAATTAAATTAGGAAAAATTCCACTTACAATGGCATTCAGAAAGAATAAAATACTTAGAAATAAATTTTACAAAAGTTCAAGCATATACTATGAAAACTAGAGAACATGTTAAAAGGCATTAGATCTAAAATGGGAAAACATCCCACATTCATAAATTGAAGACTTAATATTGTTAGGATGGCAGTACTGCCCAAATTGATCTACAGATTCAATGCAATGTCTATCAGAATCCCAACTGACTTCTTTGTAGAAATTAATAAGCGTTTTCTAAAATAAAGAATTGTAAAGGATCTATATCCCAAAGCTTACTACAAAGCAGCAGTAATCAAAGCAGTGTAATAACAGTGTAAGAACAGACATATAGATAAATGAAATGAGAGTCAGAAATAAAACCATATGTCTGTGGTCAACTGATTTTTGAAGAGTGCCAAGACAATTAACTGGGAAAAGAAGTCTTTTCAGCAAATGGTGCTGGGACACACGGATAACCATGTGCAAAAGAGTGAAATTGGACCATTACATCATACCTTATAAAACTTAAAATGGACCAAAGACTTAAATACAAGAGCTAAAACTGAGAAGAAAACAGGAGCAAATTTTCACAACCATGCATTTCACAACCCATATGATATAGTACCATATATGATACTAAAAGTATGAGTAACAAAAGGAAATGTAAATAGATTAGACTTCATTAAAAGTAAACATATTTTTGTTTCAAAGGACACTATCAAGAAAATGAAAAGATAAACCACAAAAGAGGAGAAGATATTTGCAAATTATATCTATAAGGGATTTATATCTAGAATATATAAATAACTCCTAAAATTCCATAATAAAAGACAAATTACCCAATTTAAAAATAGGCAGAGGACCTGAACAGGTATTTCTCCAATGAAGATATACGTAGGCATGTGAAAAGATGCTTGACATCATTATTCATCAGGGAAATGTACACCAAAAACACAAGGAGATGACCACTTCACACTCATTAGAATGACCAGAATCAAAAATACAGGTAATAAAAAGGGCTGGTAAAAATGTGGAGAAACCAGGACCCTCATGAACCACTGGCTTGAGTGAAAAATTGTGTAGCTGCTTTGGAAAACAGTCTGGCAGCTCCTCAAACATTTAAAATGTAGAATAACATGTGATCTAGCCATTCCACTCCTAGGTACGTATCAAAAGAGAAATGAAAACATACGTCCACACAAAAAGTTAGACACTAATTCACAGTAGCATTATTCATAATAGCCAAAAAGGTGGAAACAACCTAAATATCAATCAACTGGTGAATGGATAAATGAAATGTGGTATACCCATACAATGGAATATTATTAATAATAAACAGGAATGAGGTACTAATAACACAGAATAACATGAACAAACCTTGAAAACATTACACTAAGTGAAGGAAGTCAATCACAAAAGACCACATATTACAATATTTGGTTGATATGATATATCCAGAACTATAAGGACAGAAGGCAGTTTAGCAGTTGTTTAGAGCTGGGGACATGGACAGATAACAGGGTAATAAGTAAATGGCATATGAGTGAGTTTTTTTGAGGAAGTAAGATGTTCTAAAGTTGACTTTGGTGATAGTTGCACATACCTGTGAATTTACCAAAATATATTGAATTGTATGTGTTTCATGGGTCAATTGCATGGTATGTGAATTGTATCTCTATGAAGCTGTTTTAAAATGTAGTGTAGAACTGTATTTTATTCAAATATTCATGAAGTTTTCAAAGAACTAGTTTCAGTCGAAGATCACAACCATTTCTCTGCCTCTTTTAAAGCTGTTCACCCACAAGTAAGTACTTCATAGAACACAGCCAGATGGTATAGTACTTTTCCTAGAAATTTCTAGGAATATATGAAGTGATTAGACACATACTCAACCTGGCTAGAATGATACAGACATTTCTTACTACTGGCATTGGTCTTCTATTCAGCTTTCCCCATCTCCTTGATGTGAGAACTTCTGAAAATCTTATTTGGAGACTAGAAAAAAATTATTAATTAAGAATATCTGGGGAATGGGGAGAGACTGGTGTGGTGTGTTGGACAACAGGTTGGAAGTAGACTTAACAGATTTTAATGTTAACCCTTCATCAGATCAACTGTTTTCAACAAATGTCAACCTGAAGCTTTCATCAGCTGCACTTCTGTGCAACAATCTACAGACAGAATTGGTTCAATACCATTTCTATTTCACCATATCTTATTACTCATCCTAGATGAATGATTATTTTTAACATGCTATTGGAGCTTCATTTTTTAGTAAGGCAAGATGAAAGCATATTTTGTGGTTGTCTGATTGAATTATTTTTTTTTCTGTCTTCTAATAGGAACGCCCACCTAAGCCTGATGTTCCCTGGCTGCTTCCTGCCACGTGGTTTGCATGCTGTGATTTAGAAGAATCATTTCCAGTTTTTAACGGACTTACACAATATATATTACTACATCCTATTTCCATACGCTTAGGTAATATGGCAAAAAGCATCTGCTATTAAGGGTTGTAAACACGCTCTTGAATCCTAATTTAACATCTCCTTTAACTTCTTCTGCAATATCAGTATTTTTCATTAGGAAATTTCATTATTAAGAAAGTGCAAATCACTTGTTTTCCCAATTTTGTGAGTTGAATGCTTGGCCCATGAATTTTCAATATTTCATGTTTACTATTATACCCATTTTAAGGGTATACATTTATCTCTAAGTATTGTTTTAGCTGAAACCCATTGGGTTTTTGTTTCCTTTTTATTGAAGGTGACATACATACAGAGAAGTGCACAAATCAAAATTGTGTAACTTGATTAATTATCCTTTAGGGACACACGGATAACCATGTGCAAAAGAGTGAAATTGGACCATTACATCATACCTTATAAAACTTAAAATGGACCAAAGACTTAAATACAAGAGCTAAAACTGAGAAGAAAACAGGAGCAAATTTTCGCAACCATGCATTTCACAATCCATATGATATAGTACCATATATGATACTAAAAGTATGAGTAACAAAAGGAAATGTAAATAGATTAGACTTCATTAAAAGTAAACATATTTTTGTTTCAAAGGACACTATCAAGAAAATGAAAAGATAAACCACAAAAGAGGAGAAGATATTTGCAAATTATATCTATAAGGGATTTATATCTAGAATATATAAATAACTCCTAAAATTCCATAATAAAAGACAAATTACCCAATTTAAAAATAGGCAGAGGACCTGAACAGGTATTTCTCCAATGAAGATATACGTAGGCATGTGAAAAGATGCTTGACATCATTATTCATCAGGGAAATGTACACCAAAAACACAAGGAGATGACCACTTCACACTCATTAGAATGACCAGAATCAAAAATACAGGTAATAAAAAGGGCTGGTAAAAATGTGGAGAAACCAGGACCCTCATGAACCACTGGCTTGAGTGAAAAATTGTGTAGCTGCTTTGGAAAACAGTCTGGCAGCTCCTCAAACATTTAAAATGTAGAATAACATGTGATCTAGCCATTCCACTCCTAGGTACGTATCAAAAGAGAAATAAAAACATACGTCCACACAAAAAGTTAGACACTAATTCACAGTAGCATTATTCATAATAGCCAAAAAGGTGGAAACAACCTAAATATCAATCAACTGGTGAATGGATAAATGAAATGTGGTATACCCATACAATGGAATATTATTAATAATAAACAGGAATGAGGTACTAATAACACAGAATAACATGAACAAACCTTGAAAACATTACACTAAGTGAAGGAAGTCAATCACAAAAGACCACATATTACAATATTTGGTTGATATGATATATCCAGAACTATAAGGACAGAAGGCAGTTTAGCATTTGCTTAGAGCTGGGGACATGGACAGATAACAGGGTAATAAGTAAATGGCATATGAGTGAGTTTTTTTGAGGAAGTAAGATGTTCTAAAGTTGACTTTGGTGATAGTTGCACATACCTGTGAATTTACCAAAATATATTGAATTGTATGTGTTTCATGGGTCAATTGCATGGTATGTGAATTGTATCTCTATGAAGAATGAATTTTCAATATTTCATGTTTACTATTATACCCATTTTAAGGGTATACATTTATCTCTAAGTATTGTTTTAGCTGAAACCCATTGGGTTTTTGTTTCCTTTTTATTGAAGGTGACATACATACAGAGAAGTGCACAAATCAAAATTGTGTAACTTGATTAATTATCCTTTCGCTCCACCACCCATATCAAGAACTAGAACAGTATCAGCCTCCCAGAATTCTCTCATACTCCTTCACAGGACCCTTGCCCTCTTCCCGAGTAATGACTGTTGAGAATTTTGACATTCTACATTAATTTTCCCTACAAGTTTTAATATGCAACCCTTTAAATTCTAAAAGTACACTTTCTAGTTTGAAAGCATTTAGGATTTGGGGGGACTATCTTTTTATTTATACTTTAATTATATTATGGAAATTATACTCATGGTTTGCATGAAATTGATTCTTTGTAATTTATTTAGACTTCAGCTTATATAAAATGTTCCATATATATCATTTATTGGATGCAAGATTCCATATGTGAACTTTAACTCAAACTTACTAATACTTTTTATACACAATCTGTCATTTTCTAAGAAAGGTACATTAAAGTGCACCACTATGACTGGCAATTCTCTTTGTGATTCTGGAGTTTTTCCCATTATATCTTGTAAAAAAGTATGCTGTTAAATACAAATACATTTAGGATTATTATCTTCCTAGTAAATTGTTCCTTTTTCTTAAATAATATCCCTCTTTACTCTAAATAGTGCTTTTTGCCTTAAAATGTTTTCTAATGTTCATATTATTACAGCAGGTTTCCCTTGGTTAGTATTGCCCCTCCATATATTCTACACTCTTCATTTTCAGTCCTTTGGCATCATCATGTTTTTGGTGTATTTTTACTGGGATTTTGTTGTTTGGGCATTGTGAGTCTCTCTTTTTTAACAGACAATTTTTAATCCAATTATATTTATTACGATTGCTGATCTATTTCAGTGGTTTTCAACTGGGAAGATTTTGTCCCCCCAGGGAACGTCTGGCAATGTCTCAAGACATTTTTGGTTGCCACAGGAGATGTGGTGCTACTGGCATCTGGTAGCAGCTAGAGATGAGGGATGTAGCTGAACACCCTGTGATGCTCTGAACAACCCTCTGCGGCAAATAACCACTTAGCCCGAATGTCAGTAGTGGCAGGCTGAGAAACCCTGATCTACTTGGACTTACTTCTATCATCTTCATTTTTTCTTGCCAGGCTCTTACTTTGCTTCATTTTTTCCCCTTCTTTCTTAACATCGTGTATATTGTCCACATTCTTTTTATTTTCCCCTCTACTGATTTGAATCCTATGTTCTATTTCTGTTTTTTAGTAATCACTCTTACAATTCTAAAATGAATACTTATTTAACCCAGTATACTCGGTAAATGTGGTTTAAAGTCTCCACATACTAGAATTTCTGGGATCCTAATATGCTTATTTGATTTCTAAAGAAAGACTAGAAAAAATAAAATGCTCTTCAATAAATGCATCAAATGACAATTATGTTCCTATATCGTGGGCCAGTTAAACAAGACAGCTGACAGTAGAGGTATAATACAGAAAGAAAAAACACTCATAGGAGAAGCCTAGAGATGGACAGTTAGAGACCGATCTGAAGCAGAAAGGGCTAGCTAGAGGCTCATGAACACAGGGTCAAAGGAAGTGGGAAGGGGTGGAAGCTGAAAGGCAAAGAAATTCTGGGAACAACTCAACAAGTTTGGGGGAAAAGGCGCTGTGAGTCACCCTGTCAATTAGGACTAAATTTTCAGTGATTTAAAACAGCTCTCCTGCTTTCATTTGTTAAATTTCAAGGTTTATTTCAGAAATCCTACAGAATGGTTAAGGTTTATACACGTGTGATAGGAAAGGCTTGTGTTCTAAAAGTGAGCTTTAGATCTTTGCAGGTGAAGTTTAACAGTTAATTCCAATGGTATTCTTACCTTCAAAAGCTTCCTGATTGCCTTAATCTTTTGAATTTGATGGTTTCAAAGTGCATCATGTTCTTAGTTGTCATTTAAAATATGCTGTCTTATCTTCTCTCCTATTATCAGTAGGCAGAGCTCTTGTGATTATACAGTAAATAATGAGAACCTCAAGAGAGAATAAATGGTATTCTCTATAAATAATAAAAGTAAATGAGGACCACCACCAGGTCCTCAGAGTAATGCAGCCACCTTCAACTAAAGAAGCTGTGGTGTGCCAGGCCCTGTGGTCTCATACCTGTAATTGTCTGTGTTCCATGTAGGAATTAGAAGTCTTGCAGAGGCGCACACACCTGCAGGGCCATGGTCTTACATGTCACTAAATTTCTGTCACCAGCTCTTTGGTTGCTATTTTTAGGCTCTCAGAGAAGAGCCCCAGTGGCCCAGCTGGAGAACATGGTTTTCTAGCCTTAAATGCAAGCCAACTAACTATTCTGCCTCATGTTCCACCCAGATAACCTGTGTCATCAATGGAGGGCACACTGGCTGTTGGCTTGCTGAGAGGCTCCCAGTACACCTGCAATCTGTTACCTACCAGAATTTCAATGCTAATTCTTACTACATGTTATAACCATTGTAAGGGCTAACTAGGATCCTAACCCTCATGTGAGATGCAAGTGCATTTCTTATAAATATATTCTGTGGGGAAGAGAAAGCAGTACATCCTGTTTATTAGGGTATAAAATTTTATATGTCAACTTATTCATGTAGTATTTATATTCAAATTACATATGCTAAAATTTTCTATTTGTTTCATCTGCCACAGACTGATAATTGTGTATTATTTCCTACCACTATTGTGTTTCTTTCCTTCTTCCTTTACCTCCAGCAGTGATTGTCTGATATATTCTTATGCTATTATTTGGTAGCTATTGGTTCACTTTACTGTGTTTTTATTAATATAACATGACCTACTTCATCTCATTTAATTATATTTGCCTTGGATTCTAATTTATCTAATGTTACTCTTATCAATACAATTTCTTTTTGCTCACAGTTGATTCATGTATCTCTATGCATCATTTTATTTTTAACCTGTTATTTTTGCCCTAGGTTTTCTTTCCTGAAGTGGGGTTTGCTGAATTTGGTTTTTGACCCAATTTTTAATTCTTTTTAACTATATTAGGTAGGGAGAGATTGAAAATTGATAGTAAGTGTGGAGGTTTTCATATTACCAAGGATATTTATTTATTTTCAAAGTCAAAACAACTGCAATTAAAGCATTTTTTAAAATTGTGTTTCCAGGATCTTTTGAGACTTACATAAATCCACATGAATGGGAAGTCTATCCTAAAATGAAGGAAGAAGATCAATATGTGACATATAAAGAGGTGGCCACAAGCCATGATTCTTGGCATCCAGAATTAACTTCTTTCCATAAGCTAATTCTCATTAAATGCTGTAAAGAAGAAAAGGTAGGGTTTTTTTTAACTGAAAGACTGTGTTATAATTGTGTCTACTAAAGCTCACCAGCCAATGATGATTCATAACTGATTAGATTTACTTGTTGAGAAAGTAACAATGGCCAACTTTGGGAGGTGGTTCTGAGAAATAGAGATTCTGTGTTATTAATAGAACATAGTGTTTTACACAGAAAATGATGATGGGAAAGGCTGGAGAGCCAGCCAGGAACCTGGTCATCCTTCCCTAGTGTGCACCTTTAGGGAACCATGCTCTCTGCCAGAGAGCGCAGGGGTCTGCTGGAGGGCACTGGCAGGGAACTGATGGGCCCTTCAGATCTGGGCCACAATGGGAAGAAGGCGTTTAAAGAGAACAGTAGTCACCAAGACCAGTTTGAAGACTGTTGAGGTAGTGTGTGTAAGAAATTAGGGGCAGCCTGAATTAGGACAGAGGTAGTAGACTGAAGAGATGAAGGGGGATGTGGAGATGAAGCAAGTGTGGCTCCCAGTTTCTGCATGGGTGCCAAAGGTGATGGTTGTATCACCAACTAAGCGAATGTGAAAGGAGCAACATGTCAGAGAAGCTGCCTCTGAGTCTGCAGTGCCTGCCGGCTGCCAGAGTGGAGAGCAGTCTGGGGACCAGCTAAGGTGTGGGTAGGAAACTCTAGAGATAAACGTACGTTAGAAATAGAAATTTGGGGATCATCAGCACTGGAGAACAAGATCATGTGAATTGTTGGAATAATGCATAATAAAAGGACAGGTGGGCAAAGGATGACACCCTGAGAAGCACCAACTTTTAAAGGGCAGAAAGAAAGGATAAGGTGCCCAAGAGAAGGGCAAGAGCACCACCAGAGGAAAAAGTGACACGGAAACCAAGAAGTTAGAAAGTTTCAATACAGCAAGTTATCAACAGAATGAATGAAGCATTGCAGACAGTTCCAGTTTTTATATATAGATATAATCTCCAATTTCATTGATAATAAAGGAGTTATATTATGAGTTTCAGGAGGCACTGGAGAAACAGGAGAAAGAACTAACTGGAGAAAGCTAACACATAGCTGGCAGATACCTATACCATGCTTCAGGCTTCTCTGCCATGTCCATAAGAACACAGAAAATAGGTTGTGGGGTTGACCGGAGCCACGGGTGATTGAGTAGAAGAAAAAAAGATGCAAGGCCACTGGGGCTGTTGATAAAAGAGTAGTTATGGAAAGAGGCAGAGATCTAAGAAAAAAGCTCATAGACTTGGGGAAAGGAAAACTTGGAAGTTTCTTTGGAATTAGATGTAGTTGGACTAGAGGTTGTAGCACAGCTTGAAGGATGGGAAAGGTTGTGATCAAAGTTGAGTTAAAATTTCTAATGAACAATTGCAAGTGATGACAGTACCCTCAGGGTGGCCATGGGTGTGGGTGGCTGAGAAAGAGATGAGAAGATGTGTACTGAGACAGAGGTCGAGAAACTACAATGTTAGGATGCTGGGTGGCCCTTGGACCTGAACGTGGTTGTGTCACCTACCTCAGGCAGTGTCAAGACAGTGTCTGGGCCAGAGATGCAAGCCATGGAACACACATGTGATGGAGAGGAGGGCTATGAGCCAAGGGGAAAGTTTTCAGTGAATATGGAAGACAAAAGCCCCAGAGAAGGAGGAGTTTTAAAGATTAAGACGTTAAAGTTAGAAAATTCTGGACTATGAAAAAATTTTCCAAGACACACAGTCTGGTTTCTTCAACAACACATTTTGTTTGTTCTGCAAGAGTCAAGAGGAAATGAAGGATGTAATTTATAGATTAGAAGACATTTAGTCAAATCATTCTATCTTTATATATAAGCTTTATTTAGATCCTGATTTAAATATACTGTATTTAAATGCACACAAACATGAGTCATTTGTAATTTACTTAGGGAAAGGTGAACACTAACTAGATATTTGATGATATTAAGGAAGTATTATAAAACTTTTAGATGGATTCTAGTACTGTGATTATATATTTTCTAAAGAGTCTCTTGTAGAGACATGTGCTAAACAACTTAAGGATGAGATAATATGACATGAGATTTGCTTCAAAATAATCCTAAAGAGTAGGGTAATAGGTGGGTATATTAATGAAACAAGATTAGCCTTTTCTTGATAAATGTAGAAACTAGGTGAAACATTGGGTTCATTACTCTCTGATTTTATATATGCTTGAAATTTTCATAATAAAAAATGTTCTACTCCCATTACATCCTTGAATACCAGGACTGTCTTGCAGAACGCCCCAGGACAGTTCTCCAAATGTGATCAAAGTTACAAATGATAGAGGCAGTCATAATAAATTCACAGAAGATAATTAAAAACTCTTCTCAATACATTCAACCGAAAACCTTGGGAGTGTTATACTACAAAATAAAACTTGATTTACAAATCAATATGGAGGAGTCTAGAATCTAAATTAAGTTTCAAAAATGCAAAGCTAGATCTATGCATTCCAGAGAAGACAGGGAACTGAATCAGTCAAGTCTACCCACAAAATCACCCTGAAGAGAAGTTCAAGGCTGACAATGTTACACCTTCCACACCTCTTCCCAATTAGATACATTCATCAAGCCATTTGGAAACCCTTATCCTGGTATTGAGTCCAGAAAATGACTTGCTAAGGAAATGGGGTTCCAGAGTAAAGAATCCAGGTTCTGAAGATCTGGATTCCCTGCCCTGAGAAAAAGAGAACCAGAGGGAGCCTTAGAACAAATATAAGACCAAAGACAAGATATCTGTGATAAGACAGCTCAAGGTAACTAGATTGTCTCTCCCAGGTCTGTTCAAAAGCAGAGCTCGTTGGGTGTCCAGTGATTTATGTGGTAGAGTCAGCTGCTCATTTGGGAGAAAAGGGATATTCCAGCACAGTGGCTTGCATAAGAGTCTGATTCAGAAGGTCTGGGCTAGGGGCAAAGAAATCTGCATTTCTAACAGCCTCCCACATCATGATGATGTTGGTGCTAAGACCACACTTTACAAACCACAGCTTTAGTGTGCCTAAACATATATAAGGAGAAAGAGTTCATCTCAAAGCAGTCAGAGGGACAAGGACATCAGGACATAGGACATGACCTGAAGCATCATTGGTTTCCAGGCTAAATCCACTGGGAACCTTGACTTTGACAGTTCCGGTGTTTCAATCCAGGCTTCCTCTCCTCAGGAAGGCAGCAGTCTCTTTGAGAGCCAGGTTTTCTCTCTGTTGAAAAACCACAGTGTAACCAGAATTACAAAGGATGAAGTCTTACTCAGGGCAAAAATTGCAAGGCTTTCCCAGTTTGGGAAACAGCAGTTATATGAATGCAATTTTCAGGGCCCTGTTGTCAGTTCCACTGTATGCTGATTGTTTATTTAAGCAAGGTATCCCATGGAAGAAAATTTCCCACAATATTGTCATAGGATGCTTGGTACAACTGCTTGCTAAGAAAAATACCTGTAACACAGAGACTAAGCAAGAGTTATTTGGAAATGTTAAAAATGCAACTTCAGTTATCACAGCATATTCTCTGATCATGTATTAAAAAGACCCTCAAGAGTTTTAAGACTTTATTGAGGTATAATTCACATATCATACAATTCACCCATTTAAGGTGTTCATTTTAATGCCTTTTAGTATTCTCACAGAGTTGTGCAATTTTAGAACATTTGCATTAGCCAGAAAAGAAATTCACCCACAGAGCCATTATCTCCCGAGACTCCTATTAGCACCAGCCCTAGACAACCACTAATGTATTTTCTATGTCTGTGGATTTGCCTGTTCTGCCCACTTCATATAAAATCGATCTGAAAATCAGTTACATGATTGGAACCATACAATATGCAGTCTTTTGTCTGTTCTTTCATTTAGCATTAATAATTTCAAGATTTATTCATGTTGTATCAAGTATCAGTATTGCATTCCTTTTTATTGCTGAATTATATTCTGTTGTCATGGCTATACCACATTTTGTTTATCTCTTCATCAAATGACGGACATTTGAATTGTTCCCACTTTTTGGCTATTGCAAATAATGCTGCCATAAACATTTGTGTACAATATGTTTTCATTTCTCTTCAGTATGTACCTAGGAGTGGAACTGCTGAGTCATTTAATGTCTGTTTTTAACTGAGGAACTGCACCATTTTACATCCCCACCAGCAGTGTATGAGGCTTCCAATTTCTCCACACCCCTGCCAACAATTTTTATTATCTGTCTGCGAGGTGGTATCTCATTTTGATTTTGATTTGAATTTCCCTGATGGCTAATGAATATGAGCATTTTAGTTGTGCTTATTGGCTATTCGTGGTAACTATCTATTCAGATCTGTTACCACTTTTAATTGAATTGTCTTTTTATTATAGAGTTGAAAGAGTCCTTTATATATTCTAGATATAAGTCCTTATCAGTTATATGATTGGAAAAAAATACTCTCCAATTTGGTGGTTGTCTTTTCACTTTTCCATGAAGCACAAGTTTTTTAATTTTGAGATGTGCAGTTTATGTTTTCTTTTGTTGCTTATGCTTTTGGTGTCACGTCTGAGAAGCCATTACCTAATCCAAGGTCATGAAGATTTACTCCTATGTTTTCTAAGAGTTACAAAGTTTTCTCTCTTACATTTAGCTCTTTGATCCATTTCGAGTCAATTTTTTAAATAATATTAGGTTAAGGCGCCAACCTGATTCTTTTAGATGTGGATATCTAGTTGTCCTAGCACCATGTGTTGAAACCTTTGTGTGTCATACTATTGTGGTTGGAAAATATGCTTGCTATGACTTAAGTCTTCTTCAATCTGCAAGATTTACTTGTGACCTAACATATGATCTATCCTGGAGAATGTTCCATATGCACTTGAGAAAACTATGTATTTGCTGCTGTTAAATGCAATGTTTTGTATATGTTTGTCAGGTTTGGTCTAAAGTATAATTCAAGTCCAATGTTTTCTTACTGACTTTCTGTCTAGATGATCTATCCATTGTTGAAAATACAGTATGAAAATGCCCTGTTACTGTATTGCCAT